GACGGATGACCTGCGGGGACCTGGAACCAAGAAGGTGGTGACGTCATCAGAGCTGCTTCAGGAAGACTCTGCACGGGTCTGTGGAGGACCAGTTCAGGGAGCACAAGTGGAGTCAAGGAGATCAGTTAGGAAGGAAGCAAGCACAGAAGCCCAGCCGAGATAAAAACCTTCGGTCAGGGCAGAGTAATCCAGATGACACAGGCAGGACCGAGGGACAGTGGGTGTGGAAGAGAGTTCTGGACAACACTGTGTATCCAGCTGGAGTCTGAGGGGACGGTGGAAACAAAGTAAGAGGACAGGTGGCAGAAAAGCAGCAGAGGAAAACAGGTTTTAGGGGAGAAAACGAGTCACTTGGTGTTCTGAGTCTGAGGTGTCTGGGGGACATCCAGGGGAAGATGCCAGGTTAGGAGGACATAGCTGAGCTGAAAGTTGCAAAGATCTGGGCTAGAAATTGAGGTTTAAGAGCCTTCGGTATATCTGGAGACTTGAAACCATGATAAAATCAAGTCCGTCAGGGACGCCCCTCACAAAATCAAAGTTTGGTCTTCATTCCTTTTCCCAGCAGACTTCACATAAAATTATTTTTTTTCCCCCTGGGTGGCCTTTTGTAATTTCTCTTCAAAATAAACTAACAATGTCAGTACAGGTGACAAAATTATTCATTGTTTCAAGTAGACTCTAAACGTACTAGTAAACAAACCAAACTTGACTGTAGTGCAACAGGAAACCTCTACTTCGCACTGTGGTTCACACTCAAGGGCCTACAGCACACTTCTTGGACCAGGCAAAAGAAATCCTTCGCCGGCACCCCTCTGCGGTTTAAACCCAACTATGACGCCCAGCGTGACCCGGCCACTGCCTGCTCTTCCAACTTCATGGCATCGCACGCTCGCCTTCCCCGAATCACGGGCCTTCGGCCATTCCTCGGGCATGCTCGGCTCCTCCGCCTGTTGGGAGCCGCGGACACGGCCCCGAGAGGCGCCCCCGGACCGGCCTGCGCAGAGCTGCGCCCTCCTTCCCGATCTCCACTTCCGTTACTACGCTCCACGCTCTACTGTGGTTACCGCCCCGAGCCCTAGAGTTACCAGCACGAGTTCGCCGAGGGTCGGGGTTCTGTCTTGCGTCCCGAACCCAAGACCCTAAAAGTGCAGGTCCGACCACGCGGGAATCGGTGGAGAGCACAGCAGCGCACGGCAGGCTGAGCCCAGTGATGCCGGCACCGGCTCGGGGTCGGTCGGACCGGGTCTAGCCTCCGCTTTCCCACTCACCGTGACTTTCAGCAGACCGCCCACCCCTGCCGGCCTCAGTCCTTCAACCGTAAACCAGACGAGACGCGGCAGGAAGCGGTTCGCGCGGCGCGAACGCACAGAAGCGCGCGGCGGGGGCGCGAGTCGGTGCCCGGCGTTTCCTCGCTTCGCCGGCGGCTCGGGCCGGCGGCCATGCGGCGCGGCTGACCGCGGGACGCCCACCTGTCTCCCTCTGCGTCTTCACGCTGATGTACTGGCGCAGCTTCTTCACGGCCCGGTCGCGAATGCCCTTCTCGTGGGACGCCAACCGCTGA